TTGTATATTCATATATTTAAAAATGTACCCTTGAGGATTAACCTTGAAAACCTCAGCTTTGGAAGGGTCTGTCACATATTTTTAAACAAAACCACATAGGACAAAATATATGTAAGTAATGAATTATTCACACTCTCAAGTTATTAATTACTGGACTCACATTTGATCTCTACTATAGCAGTATAACAGGGTTCATGGTGTAGAACTATCTTTTGCAAAGACAACCTCCTCTGTTACTGGGATATTCAAGATGCAGTCAGGATATCCTTTAGGTTAATGGGTTTGCCTGTTTGGGGTGTGCCAGTCAGGTGTTCTGAGGTTGAAATCAGTGATGCGAAGGCTTAGATTAAGTAGACTGATATCTGGTAGTTGCTGGTGTTGCCGCAGGGTTTAGAGACAGAGAGTGCAAAAAAGATGTTGGATTATAATGTGTTTGTTCTGGTGACGTCAATGTTATGGTCACAGGACTGGCCTTTTGGAGCTGTATGTTTGATGCTAGCTTTGAATTAAATGCTTGTGATACAGTGTTTACCACATAATGTCCAACAACATTTACTAGTTTTAATCCCTTGTTTTTTTAACTACTAAGTAAAATGTACAACCCAAGTCCTTGAGGCCATCTACTGTAGGTCTTCAAACTGTCTTTGCACCTCAAATCTAAACTAACAAACTCAACAGGTCACCTTCATTGGACCTATTTAATGCTTTTAGTTTGAGCTCTTGTTGATTCAAAAAAGACTATTCAGAGGCCTGTACAATTCCTAGGAGACCAATTCCCAGGCCTAGATTTTTGGAACAGCTCAGGCATCTGGTTTATATTCATGAGATTGGAATGGACAGACCAACATTTTGATCCTATACAGTACCTCCTTGGAAATTTGTTGTTGCCTTGGCTAGGTGCTTAAGATCACTGCTGTGATTAAATGTAAACATCAATGTGGTGAATTTATAATGAACACCAATACTTACATGCACTGTGACCAACCTTACTGACTTATTTATTGCACACAAAAAGTGTAGAACTCTAAAAAAGGACTTTCAAACAGCTGTGACATCTGACAGACAGGACCAAGCAAACCATTTGACATAACAAATCCCAAAAAATACCAGTACTGTACAGGGTGGCATGGTGGTGCAGTGGTTAGCCTTACTGCCATGCAGAGCTAGGGCACTACATTCAGTCCTGGACCAGGGGTGTTATCTACAGTATAGTTTCTATGTTCAGTGTTTTTGTGTTTGTGTTTACTCTGGTTTCTGGTTAATTTGCTGCTGGCAATTTTGGCCCTCTCAAATGTGTGTCCTGTGATGGACTGGGTTCCCATCCAAGGTGCATCCTGCCTTACTTCCCAGGACAGACTCTGGCTCACCTGAATTGGATAAAGTCGTTCGAAAATGGATGGATGCATGTTTTGAAAAAAAGTAAAACTTACAGTGTGTGAAATTCTAGTGTTACATACAGTACTAATATGACAAATGATGCTCAAATTCTTTAACTATTATTTAGAACCACGTAGAATGGTCAGATGAATACAAAATCACCTTGTATATTATGTTAGGAAATAACAAGCCGGACAAGTGTATTTGTGTGCTATCAGATGGTTTCCATTCATTGTACAATGGTTAGTTCTTTAAATGAACACACCTACGCAAGAGATAATACAGCTCTTTCAGTGTGGTTTTTGGTTAAAGGATGTTTATCTTCTGCTGTGCTATTTTGTTGCACTAACATACTTTCATACGAATGTATCAACATCTCCTACCACTCACCCTAGTACTGTGACTGTGGTCTTTAAAGGGAAAGTCTAAAGACCTCAGGCATAATTCACCTTGTCGCTGGCTTTCCTGGTGACATGATGTTCACTGATTAGCCATTGTAAAAAACAGGAAGCTACAAGTCTAATGAGCAGTGTGGTTAGCCACTAGGAAATGAATAGCACTGAAAAATGTAGTCTGTTTTTTTCTTAAAAACAACACTCATATAGTACGACCTATTTTGCTCCCATCTAAAATGACCTTTTGAAGTACTGTAGGTAGTTTAATTTAAAAATAAATGTAAAAAATGCCAGGGTTCAAAATTAAGGCCTACCTCAACTACATTGTTTGATATTACAAAGTTACATGAAGCAATACAAGATTTACTCTCTGCTGATTGCAGATATCACTAAACAGCGGTTCAATTCCTGTACACTTTCTCCTTCCTGTATACTGTAGGATCAAATTCTTACCAAGTATTGTTTTTTCTCCCCAAGATACATAAACTGTGAGAAGGATGACTGTGTGTTTTGCTTTCTGGTTCCTGCAACTGTTACTGTTACTGCCTTTAAAAATCTTTTGAAGTCTCAAAACATGCATATTAACTGTTTGAGTTGAGCTGCTTTTAATCTCTGAATTGAATTAGTTGCAATCTGAAATGAATGACCAAAGATTTTATAATTAAACTTAACACCCAGTTTCATTTTCAGGTGTCCTTTAGGAAAACCCCTTTATGAAAATTCTCACATACTCATTTGCTCAACAAGTGCATCAAAAGCAGCTGAAGCATTAGGCAAACTAGTTCACAGGTACTGTATGGCCATCAGTCTATGAGGGCTTGCAGTGCGGGTCCACAGGTGGCCAGTAATAAGTATTCGGTTACTTATTTCCACAGTAAGTGTGAATGACTTTCTGTTTACTCAAAGTACAATCCCAGCAGATTTGCCTGTTGTTTATATTCAAGACTTCCCGGTGAATGTTGTCGTCAGAGTTCAAAACACACTGCTTCTGTGATGGTGCAAAGCAGAGCTTGGCCTTCTGCCTCCAATCAACAAGCCTCTGACCTCCAAAAGCCGCTTACCTTGCTCTGTGGCTTCTGGCTTTTCCGGTGATTTCAGCTTTTAAATGCCAAATTGTGAATTTTATTTGGCTTTAGATTCCCTCCATTCTGAAAGCAGCCTGTAGCTTAGGCAGTTACTTGGCCACTATGGCTTTCCAGAGCAGCACTGCCACAACACAGGGTGTCATCATTCTCCTCCTGCTGCTCCAGTCCCAATGCCAGAGAAATGTTCTCTACAGCGGTTGGACTTCAAGGCTTGATTGCCAAATGTTGCAGCCGAATATCTTGAGCAGCAGTTAAACAGGCAGGCAAGGCGGATTTAAAGCAAAAGAAGCTTTATTAAAGAAAAGGCTGCTTGGCAGTGCGGACTGCTCATTTACAGAAACTGCTTACTGTTCTGTTTCTGCATCCATGCAAGTTAAGGTACAGGGGCAAGCTGCAACGACAAGAGCAGGCTGAGCCGTAGCACAATCTTGACAGGATTAACTAACCAGTCCACGCAGTCTAAAACTGGGGACAGTACCTGATGAAAACTGATGCTCACACGTGTTTTAGTCCATTGATATAGGCCCCAACACCAGACACAGATGAAACAGACAAAAAGCCAATAGTGACTGGACTGAGCTACGTCAGCACAGTCTGAACAGTCATATATATCCCATGTACTGTAACCTATATATTAAGATGCTTACTTAAAGTTGTTAATGTGTCTACTGTATTTTTTTTTCAAAACCTTGGGATTGAAATAGGCTGAGAGGTAGATTCAAGTAGGAATGTACAGACAGAAAACGTTTACGGTTTGATGACAGTTTTGAAAGAGGTCACAAGTATTTGAGGATTTCACGGCACACAATATTTGGTTTGTGTAGGAAAAGAGGTGAGTGGCATGGTGATGCAGGAGTTAGCATTCCCACAGTACAATACCTTGCAGCACCGGAACCCTGGATTCACCTCCTGGGTTGCTATGGAGTTTGTATGTTCTCCCCGTGTTCATGTGGGTTTCCTTTCCAGTTTCATTCCATGGTCCAAAAAAAATTGTCCCTAGTGTGAGTGTCTGTGTGTAGCAATGGACTGGCATCCCATCCAGGGTGTATCCCAGATGGGATTTTAAATGCGATATTGGTTTGTATATTGACTGTTTGGATTTTATTGAATCATAACTAAAAAGGTGTGCAGCTTGTGAGCTTGTGTCTGTTTTCTTTCCTAAATGTTACGTGGTTTTTCATAAGCTTGTAACAAAAGACAAAACGGAACAAAGATTCCAGTTTCATTTTTATTTATAGTGTAAAAAATCTCTAAAAGATTACCTAAAAAGATTATAAATTTGACTCTTCCGTTGAACAGAGGAAAACAACTTCGAAAGAAGCGAAGTCCTTCTTGCACTAAAATGTGGTATTTCACACAATTCTCACAACATCAACAACTCGAATCTTTGGTGCTGCTGTCCTTTCTACGACTAGCTGGGTTGTTTCCGTAACTGTTTTAACGTTTGTTTCATCACTCTCTCAGAACTGCTTTTAACATTATTTTATTAAAAATCTAGATACAACAACAAAGGAACTCATTCTTTGTAATCTTCTAGCACGCACAGTAAATCGATCAACTGTGTATTACCTCACTTGAATTAAAGCCAAAGTTATATGGCACTTTTGCATTTTGCATTTTAGTAATTATCGGGGTGTAATGTTTAGTTTATCAGAACATTTTCCAGATTAAAGATGAAGTCATAGCATCAAATTTTAATTTATAGAATCACAGTAACTTCAAATGGCATTGGACTCATCTAAAACCGCACAACAAGACATCGGCTGTATTAAATCCAATAAAAAAGATTATTTTCATGTTGTACCTCAAGCGAAAAATGAACACAGTAGTGACATTGACGCAGTTTAACTGATTGGGCTTAAAATGTGTGAATATATACATAAAATGTGTGTATATCCCATTTAATAAAAAGCCCCTAATAATTAGAATACAATGCAGGGTGGCATTAGTACGATATAATCTTTCATTCAAAATTAATCTTTTAATTGGAAAGTAACTCGTAACGAAGGCCGGATTCCACAATTTACAGACAAAGTCACTGTGCCTACACGTTCTTTGATGTAATGCAATTTCCATACTGTATCTTTAGCAACACCCTCCACCAAGCTGACGTATGCGTGTGGACACCCCGTGACGTGCTTTGTTGATATCGCACGGCTGTGAGGCGCTGCTGAGTGTTGTGCTGTATTGTGCTGCGAGGAATCGCACCGTATTGTTTGTTTGGGAAGAAGCGTTTGCTGTGCTGCACAGAGGGGAGAGGGGTTAATACAGATCAAAAGGCATAAATGATCACTTTCCTCAGTGCTCCGTCTTGAAAAGATTATTCCATCTGCAAGCAAGGATCATCCTTGTCGCGCTGTACCTGCGGGCTGCCGTGACAGGCGGTATTTCTCGGATCTGAATCGGCAACAAAGATTTTAGAGCTCGACTGGGATCTATGGATTCCGGCAGAATTCTGGCATCTTCAAAACGCCGGGCTTGGATGCGTCCCGTCATCTTTGCTTGACATAAGCAATGTCTTGCTCTTTAATAATACTGGAGTGTCAAGTAACATCCACAATTGGAATTGATCGACTATCTGTAGGGACCTTTTCCTTGAATGAGGTGCAGGGTAATGTACTGTAGCCTCAGGTGGAAATTATCCAGTTTTGCACATAGTTGTTTTAACATATAATAATTGTTAATCATTTTAATAGCTTGAAAATAGGATAGATCTTATAATGACCTTTTTAGCTCTGTGCCTTCAGTGTGCATGGCCGTAACGTTATAGGATAATGATGATCCACCTCGAGTGATTTTTTTTTCCATTTTGCGAGTCATCTCTCGCATTGAGGATTCGTAGCTTCTGTGACCGTGACTGACGTTGCCGGACTTGCAGTCGAGTTGCTGGGATTTGATGCTTTCTTAACGAAATATCTATGAAGATGTGGGTTAATCCGGAGGAAGTGCTGTTGGCCAGCGCGCTGTGGATCACTGAGAGAGCTAATCCCTACTTCATCCTGCAGAAGAGGAAGGGGCACGGCGGAGGAGGAGGAGGAGGAGGAGGGCTAGCCGGTAAGTGGAGCACACTCCACCTAAATCAAATGCATTCATTATTGAATGACTTAAGGTTATGCAATTCGTTTATTTGGCGTGTTTGAAGATTGTATGGTAGAATTACGACACAAACTAGACAAGAGCCTTCGGAGATGTACCGAAAGCAATAATTAAAATTGTAATAATGACAGTTTAATTCAACGTTTTTTTTATTTCTTTACATTGTTACTCTACGCGTGAGGCGTTGAAAAACGTGAATTCCAGTGACCAAATCAAGTGGAATATGGTGCATAATACAGTATAACACCCGCCCCCACAATAAAAAAAAATGTCTAATACAGCCAACCCCCCCCCAGAGTACCACAGCCTGACACGTGGCATAGGTCGCCTGGTGGGTGACCCCTGGACACCAGGCCTCCCAGCTCCAAATATCCACATGTAAAAAATACGACTGTATTTTATTATAGGACTGTGCTTTTAATATGACACAGTGTTTATTATTCAGGGAACTATTTTTGAGTCTTGAAAAAATCTTGAAACTGATGTATTTTTTCACTTGTGCAGTTTGGTAAGTATGAAGCGGTCAGGCCAAAACTTAAGAAGATTGTATGTAAACCAGTATCTTTTTAATACTTTGTTCCAGAGAGGTTCCATTAAGGCACATTGGTTTTATATTTAATCTGAGCAACATCATGTCCTTCAGAATGCAGAATGCAGTCCTGACTGAGCCACCAAAACTACTTTCAACACTGACACTTGACTCTCGACCCAGTAAGAACCAGATCTGTAGCTGCTCCTTTTCCCGAGCTGGTTAAATTATGACATACTACCTCAAATTTAACTTTTTTTAAAACAAAAATTAACAGTCTGCTGCCTAAATGTTCTGCTTTCACATTCATTTTAGCCTATTTCTTTTATTATATCCAACACTTTTTCTGTTATCTTGCATCTTGTGAATGTTGGATGAGTCGTAGTGATCTTACAGCAACATTTGTTTTTTTGATTGCTGGATCTTCTTTTTCAATAGCTGGTCTCATCACATCCTTGTAATGTGATAGAAATGGATGCATTTAATTCCGAGGTTGGTCTGTGTGGAAATGCTGGCTTCTGCAATTCAACATGAGCTTCCCCTAGAGTTACTGTTCACACCAGCAGCCACATGTTTCTCTTGTATATAATGTATGAAATCCCACTCCATTATTCAGGTTTTCTGTGGTCATGTTAGTTGTAAGATTTGTGCCTCACAAGGTGTATAATACATACTGTATTAAAGCCACTCTTTACTTATGAAAAATAATGGAAACCACAAAACACCTACGTAAGTACAGTTCACACTGACTGGTTCCAAAAGAAACAACAAATAATGTTTTGGAGACACCCATGTTTTTTCTGCAATATAAAAGTGGATCGTTAGGCAATTGAACCTTAATTTCTTCATGCCTCAGAATATATCCAGATTAAAATTTGGAAATTCATTTTCTCTTCTTTTTAGAAATCAAGGATAGATGCATTCTATATACTGTACATGCATTTTCTTGCCTCTGTATCTCATCTGCCATGTTTTTGCTGTCGTTTTCAGTATTTACATATCAGACCCTCTGAGGCACAATTGCACCATTCTCTTCAGACATCTCTCTTGGTGATCTGCATTTCTCTTGGTTTACTAAATGAGGACGTTATATACTTACAAGTGTGACTGAGTACCACGTTTTTCTTTTCTTTGATTTTGTCCTAATAAACAGTTCATCTTTTCTTGTTTACCATTTTGTCAGCACAATACAATGCAGTGATACCTAATCATACATATTCCTACTGGACATACTGTATTTACCTGGATTCCTCCAGGAATTTCTTCAGACCCATTACAAAACTATGGCTCTGTTGGCTAGAACATTACTGTGACTTGTTCTTGCCTGCAGCAGGGGTAGGTTATTGTCTGAGTGGATGAAAGCTGTAGAGAGCGGAAGGGTTGCTGGTTGGGGATGATGTCATTGTTATGTAAATCTCCTGCAGGGCAGTCTGGGCACGGGGAATATGGCTTGCAGTCGGCCACTTTCCAGTGCAGTCAGCCTGGGCAGGTCTGAGGATCTGTGACACACGAAGGGCTCAGGAAATTTGGAGACGGAGCTCCCTGCTACCTGCTTGTAATTTCATTATGTGTCTAGCTACTCAAAGTTCGGTCTGATGTACTGTATTATTCTAATTTATTTATAGATTTGAAAACACTGTACTTTTTACACCTGTCTCACGTGAACACTCAGAGCTTGAGCATCAAACCAATTAGCAGGAGATGGGGAAAGTACAGCTGCAGTGGCTAGTCTTTGTCACATGTTAGTTGTAGTATTGTGCCAGCACACAGAGCTGTAACATGTTGTAACCAGGCTGTATTCATTAGGAATTAAGATAGTTCTACCAGGGGAAGAGGCCTGAGATTCAGTGTGATGAAATAATTGACTCTAGTCCATTACTATATTAATTTCTGTGCCTGCAAAATTGTATCTTTTGTTAGCCGAAAAATGAACAGCTTCTTTGGAACTATTTTGGCTTGTTGAATTTGTTCTTTTTTAATTATTACATTCCCTAATCAGCTAGAAACATTGCTTCAGAAAGTAATTGTTTACCTTATAAAGTAGCATTATGCTTTCTACAGTACCTTACAAAGAAGGGATCGAAAGTGTTAACTAATGATTTTTGCACAATGCTGCCCTTAGCACTAATTTAAAAATACTAATTCTAAAAACAAACTCTGAGACATTTGTGAAACATTCAATTGCGATTTCCAGCCCCTGCTTCAGCCCCTGCGGCAGGACCTCCTTAACACTGCCTCCATTTTCTTGCTTGACAACGATATACAGTTGTACTAAAATATCTAGAAGAACTATTTTTTCTCCAGTGAGTTTAGAGTATTGAAAGCAAGTGTGTATGGTTTTTACCATTATATACAGTGCCCTCCAGATGTATCCATCAGCCCCTGGTGAAGCTGGATCACATGACAGAATTAATTACAGATTGTTTTAATCAAGAAACATTATCATTGTTTTAATATACTATAATGTTATTCTAATTGTGTTGTACAGAGAAAAGTTATGTTTGTCATGAAAAATTTGATTCCAGAAAGTAGGATTATCACATTTATTCACCCCCAGTGTATTCCTTCAAATAAAATCTAACAAGGACACATCTAAAATAACACTCAGCAGTCACATACAGTATATGATCATGGCTCTGGTCAGAGAGCTCTCTGAGGACTGCAGACAGATGGTAATTGAGTGATGGCTATAGAAAAAACATAAAAAGTTGAAGCTAGTAGTTTCCACAGTGTCCATTATTAAGAAATTTAAGAACTACTGGTATATTGGCAGCCTGTTGCTAAAGAATGTAAAAATGTGTCTTCCCTCCATCGGCTGTGGCAGAGGTTGTTTCAGGATTCAGTAGTAAATCCAGAGACAACAGCAGGAGGTCTCTGACACAGTGTGGCATTTCAGGACACAAGTGTCAGAAACCACTGTTTGGTGTTACCTGCAGAAATGTGAATGTAAGGAAGAAGCTTCTTCTGGGGGACAACCACAAAAGGAGGTGTCTCAAAGTTAATTAAAAAAATGGAGTTTGTAATGAAAATTTGGGAGGGATGACAACAGCCAAGTTCAATCAGACTTGGTAATTAGATAGATAGATACTTTATTGATCCCGTGAGGGAAATTGCAGTGCAACAGCAGCTTTACACAGACAACACAGCCACAGTGTAGCGAATGATACAATACTAATAATAGTACAATACATACAATACAACCAGTACAGTGAGGGGTGCACTAAAAGAGTTACTCACAGTCCAGAACACACAAAGAACAAACTAGAACAGAACAGAACAGTACGGAGAAAAATCATATCACACATATGAATGTAAATATAGATATAGATATAAATATAAATGTATTGCTTATACATAAATGTATTGCACGGGTCCCTGGCATATATTGCACAAAAAAGGTTGTAAACAGGAAAAGAAAGAGAACAGATGTAGCAGTAGATGTGTAGATGTGTTCAGTCCAGAAACAGGTCACTGTCGATGTTGCCTCTGCCCAGACGCAAGGTGGATGCGTTATACAGTCTTATGGCAGAAGGCAAGAATGACCTCCTCTAGCGCTCCCTGTTGCCCCATGGATGAATCAGTCTATTGCTGAACGTGCTCTTCATTCCTGCAAGCCTGTCATAGAGGGGATGGGAGATGTTGTCCATGATGGCCTCTAGTTTGGACACCATTCTCCTCTCAGCTACTACCTCAAAGGGGTCCAGGTCAGAGGCAGTGACAGAGCTTGCTCTCCTGATGAACTTGTTCAGCCTTTCATAATCCACTGCTCTAATCCCAGGGCACCGGCATACCACTGCGTAGAAAATGGCGCTCGCTACCACCGACTGATAGAACATATGTAGCGTCTTACTACATACATTGAAGGACCTGAGCCTCCTCAAGAAGTTGGAGGAGGTGCTGGGCAGTTGCAGCTGTGAAGGGTTAGGGAGTGTGTGGCTGTGGGGGGATGGGTGTTGAGCCACAGAGGGCCCTGAATCAAACCTGTTTAAAAACTGGTTCAACTCGTTGGCCATCTCCAGGTTCCCCGCCATTGCACCCCCAGCCTGTTTGAAGCCAGTGATCTCTCTCATGCTGCTCCATACAGCACGTCCCTCACCCTGTTCTCTACCTTCCTCCTGTAAGCGTCCTTGGTCTCTCTTGACTTCTGCTTTAGCTCCCTCTGTACACGCTTGACCTCTTCCTTATCCCCCCTCCTAAAGGCTCTCTTCTTGTCATTCAGCAGCCGAGTTATTAGTTCAATCAGTAATTAGCAATCACTCCTGATGCCATTTCCTCTCCTAAAACCGTATAAATACTGTAGGTGATCCTCTTCTCTCCCTCGCACACGTCTTTTTACATCCCACCTCCACCCCAGCTCCACCTTCGCACCCTGGGTCACTCCTCATCGGGGTCCCAGCCACCTCATCCTATGGCCAAGAGGTCAGCCCTC